AATAATTTTTTTTACATATCCTACTGTTGCTTTGAGGCGACGATACAGTGGAACCTGCTTAATTCGAACTTCTCTAATTCAAAATCTTCTTTGATTCGAATTTTTATTCTGGTCCCTAGCATTTCCTATATAAGTAATGGTAAAAAGTCATGAATAATTTGAATTATATTTTGCATAATTCGAACTTTTCTACAACCTAAAATGTCAATTTCATGCTGGAAATTTCCGCGAAAAGAGTATTCTTTCCTGTTCTCAAGCTCCACTTGTCATTGTACCCTTATCTGGCACCTAAATTCTCCCCACCCGACGGGTCCCTTCAGTTAAGATGCGCTGGCATTGCAGTTGCAAGCACCAATGACGTATAATATATAGACTCGGTGAACGCTTTAAAAAGTGTCCAAAACATGAATACATTGTTTATTGTTTTGATACGAAGATGCACGAGGTTCATGATTTCTTATAAAGCATCACGAAGTTGATCTTGTGTTTGAAAACATCATGGACATATGAAAACATTTTCTCCATTTTGACATATTTTATGTGACAAGCAAATTTTATTTTAAATTGTTGAGAGTTATTTACTTACTATTTTAGTAAAATGCCATGCTATTTTATATGCATAATTCATAAATATTTATAAAAAAATAATTATTGTCATTAAAATATAAATAAGCACGCCGCTGTTCTGGTAAACATACCTTCCACCTTGAGCAGAGATCTTTCGAACACCCGATTATATAGGGAGAATACGGGACTGCTCAGTCTATAATTATACGTCATTGGCAAGCACCGCAATCACGTCGCATGTCATTGCGTTTTGAGGGAAGATGTCGTCGCTTGGTAAGCTCGAACATACAAAACTTTGACATTATCGGAAAAAATAGCGACAGTTAAAGAAGTCGTAAAAGGGACAAAGAAAAAATCTGAGATTACAAGGACTCACATCCTAACACATGATAATTCACACCTACTTCTTAAAATAGATGGATATACCTACCTGAAGAATAAAGAAAAAATATCAAGAGTGAAAGTTAGTGCGGTAAAGAACAAAAAATGTTAAGGGAACCAGAAAACCCAAATGTGAACAAGCTGGGGATAAGGAAATTCTCGTGAGTGGTCCAATTATAAGAAGCAAAGCTGTACAATTTGTTATCGAAATGGGGAAAACAACTTTAAGGCGAGTACAGGGTGGCTAGACGGCTTCAAAGAACACAATAAAATTTCATTCAAATCCATTTGTGAAGAAAGTGGGACCGTTAATCAGCAAGAAGCCAACAAATGGAAAAAAATGGGAGGAGATGATTCTGGATATAGATGAAAGAGATAAACAAGGATGGATCAGAAATGTTGCCTCTACTGATGATTAGCAAGTCAGCTAATCCGTGTTGTTTTAAGAATGCCAAGTCCAAACTAGTGGTATATGTGAGCAGAGCAAGAGCTTAGATGGCTAGGGATCTTTTCGAGAAATGGCTGATGAAATTAGACAAAACGTTCATAAAAGAAAAGTTAGTTTGTTTATTGACAACTGTATGGCCTACTACACTATCCCACTAATAGAAAATGTAAAAGTTATTTATTTCCTGCCAACATGACTTCAGTTCGCCATCCTATAGGGCACCAAAAAATCTTAAACATTTTAACAGACGTTTTTTGGTTGAAAACATATTGACGGAAAATTGTAATTCCCTTGAAATAAAGTTAGACATTATTCAAGCCTCTTGATGTGTAAGAAAGCTTGGGAGAAAGTAACAACTGAAACGATTAAACACTATTTAAAAAAGCTGGTTTCATAAAAAAGGAGGAGAACACAGAAAATGCTAACAAGACTTTAACAGAAGAGCTGCTTTTAGTCAACGGCTGGGAGGATGTTATTTCTGATCCTGCCGTCTCTTATAAATATTTTGCCAACATGGCTAAAGATGTTGCAGTGCAGCTGAAGCAACAAATCATATTACACAACTTGGATGGTAGTTTGAAAATAAAAATGACCTAAGTCACTCTATTTTTAGTTCACCTTAGAATATCTTAAAATCTTTTGTCATTGCCGAGAAGCTAAATTCTAAAAAGCAGCTAAAATTTCAGATTTCTTTTTATTTTCATTTATTATCCATTTTTATAGCTTGCAAATATTTTAATTGGTTTTCTTGACCGAATTTTGTTAGCCCATTTTTTTCAGTTGACAAAATTCGGAAGAGAATAGGAACGAAAACATCTGCAAAAGATAAAAATGGTCAACTATTGTTGATTTTTATTGTTTGCAGATGTTTTTGTAGGTATCACTGTTTTTGTAGATATATTTTTAATTCGAATTTTTGGATAATTCGAATTTTTGGATATTTCAAATATTTTTAAAGGTCCCCTGAGATTCAAATTATCCAAGTTTCACTGTACAAGGCTGGTTTTATCAGGGTCTTGTATATTTTACATTTGGTTTTTCTGGTCATGTTGTTAGATCTTAGATGTTTAATGTATTTATGTACAGATATTAAATTGGTTGTCATTGGGAAAATTTTATTCCCTAACTAATCAAATTGTGTGAATATTATAATTAGAATTATAATAGTTATCATTTCTAATTTCAAAATTTAGTCATGTCAAAATAGGAAACAAGAGTCAAATATTTATTTTTCAATTCAGGGGCAAATATAATAATTTTTTATTGTAATTATTATAATTCAACTATTTTAGTAGGCTCCAACTGTTAGGATATTGTACTACTTTGTCAGTTAGGAGTTTATATAAATAATAAATACATGCTCATAATTGTTTCTTCCTAAAAGACCAAACAATTTATTAACAAACACCATCATAATTAAATAAAACATACATACTGTTAAACACATAAGTTTAATTTTCAAATATTTAATGAGATCTTTATTTTTTGTAATGCCTGACTGAAAAGTATGTACTTTTCTGCTTATCAAATATAAAATTAAGCAGCTCTCATCAAAACTAGAATCAGTAATTAGTATACGGAAAAACTGGAGTAACTAAAACAAAAAGATAATGTAGATATTTTACATTAATGTACCTGTATTTTTGCTCCCTTGTATTTAATGCACCCAGGTACCGTTGTCAGTGTGGTGAATTCATAGGCAGCTACTTCAGAATACACACCAGCTAAATTACTTAGTAAAGTACTTTTTCCCACTGATGGAAAACCTACAAATCCGACTCGTGCATCTCCAGTTTTAGCTACATCAAAACCTTCGCCAGTACCTCCACCACCTCCTTTTGGAGTAATTAATTCTCTCCGAAGTTTTGCTATACGAGCCTTTAAAAGTCCCAAATGTCCTGCTGTTGCTTTATTTTTTTGAGTTCTGGCCATCTGAAAACCGGTCAGAGGTTAGGAACATTCTAATCCATTTTTGAATTAATATCCTTACCTCGGCTTCTATAGCCGCAATTTTTTCAACAATGGTACTCATTTTCCTTAAGTAATTTCACTGGTCCAAAAAATAATAATAGTTTAACACCAGTTTTAAACTAATTCACGTGTCCGAGTCAAATGGAAATTTGAACAAATATGTTTCTAAATCTGACTGAACACTAAAATGTCAAAGTTGAATTAAGGACAGTGACAGTGACAGCATTTGGTGACAGTGTCACAGCATAAGGTATCTATGCTGTGACAGACTGACCAGTCTGGTGTTATGCTGGTTTTATATTTTGAATGCTGTTATATTATACATCATTGGTAGATGCACACATGTTCTGTGATGTAGTGTAGACACAGTATACTCAGTATAGACATTTATGAAATAAAACGTGTCCTATTTTCTTATTTATTTATTGGACGATAAAAATTCAATTCAGTGTCACCAACCTGTGTAGATTTTGGATTTTGAGTTTGATTTTGTCTTCTTCTTCTTCTTTCGTTTTATGGCCTCCACCTCAATGACGTGTAATATATTTTTTAATAGAAATTTTCATAAGAAAATATTGTCAGCCATCTTTTTCGAACAGACATTTTGTAAACAAACATGTTAGGTTATAGTTATATTGTCTATTCGCTTAGCTAGGGCATATTTTGACAGACTCATTGTAGGAAACCTACAACACAACAATTCCTACTTCTCAGTATTTATAGCTCAAGTATACTACTATTGCAGACTTCTTTCTTTGAAAAAAAGAAGAATTATTCTAAATAGTGGAAGTGTATACTAAACCCATCAAATTTTCCCTGTATATTTAAAATATAATATTTGAATTACTACAATTTAAAATATTGTAGTAAATATTTGTATTATTCGCGTTGTTTATTTAATTTAATATAGTTTTATTATCTTTGTTTAACTCTTTTGTTAGTTCTATTCAGTTAATTAGTTAGTTATATTTTAAATTTTATTATTATGGATAGTCAAAGTTTTCTATTTGTTCCATCAGCCAATGCGTTGGTAAGTTTTTCTTAATAAATATGATGTTAATGTTTTTTAAAAGTTAATATTTTTAGATTAGTTGTTTCTAATTTAATATAAACTTGTTTATACCTACATGGAGGTTTTTGTTGTTTGTTTGGGTTTATATAACTGCAGACTGCGGCCAGGACACTGAATTCATTCACCATATGTGGAAGATTTTAACATCCTCAAATATGCTAATGAGCAAAAATTACTACCTATTGAACCACGAATTTGCCTAGTCAAATTACTAATATTTGCTTTTAGCATATGGAAGTACACTTATTTTGTAAGATAATAAGACAACAGTTTATGTTAATGCTATCCAAGGAACTGTTAATCTTTAATCATTGATTCCATCCTAGTCACAACATAAGGAACTTGCCGTGTCTTATTTAACCTCTGACTTTTTAATTTTGTAGAATTTTTTACACTTTTTTTATTTTGTACAATAAATAATTTTATTATTTGTTATCAATACATTATACGGTGTAAATAAATAAATATTGATTGTCGGCAAAGTTCTATTTTATTTACTTTTGTTTACATTAATATTGACTAAGAGCACGTATGCTTGGTTGTATAGTAATTTCCAGCCACTTCGAGTCTGTCAAAAAGTAACTAACTTCGCAAAAAAATAATTACTAAAATCACTAGACAGTTCGGACTGGGATTAGCGAACCGGGTATATTGTCTATTCGCTTATCTAGGGCATATTTTGACAGACTCATTGTAGGAAACCTACAACACAACAATTCCTACTTCTCAGTATAAATAGCTCAAGTATACTACTATTGCAGACATCTTTCTTTGAAAAAAAGAAGAATTATTCTAAATAGTGGAAGTGTATACTAAACCCATCAAATTTTCCCTGTATATTTAAAATATAATATTTGAATTGTTACAATTTAAAATATTGTAGTATATACTTGTATTATTCGCGTTGTTTATTTAATTTAATATTGTTTTATTATCTTTGTTTAATTCTTTTGTTAGTTCTATTCAGTTAATTAGTTAGTTATATTTTAAATTTTATTATTATGGATAGTCAAAGTTTTCCATTTGTTCCATTAGCTAATGCGTTGGTAAGTTTTTCTTAAATAAATATGATAAAATGTTTTTTAAAAAAATTTTTTTAAAGTTAATATTTTTAGATTAGTAAGGATGCTGTTCCTAGATTACAAGGTAATAAAACTGCACAAAGGTTTATTTAAGATGCCTACCATTTTTTTACCGAATGAAAACCCTGTTGAGGTAAGTTGATCATTAAAATGTATTTATCGAATTATGTAAATGTTGTAAATACATAAGGAACTTGCTGTGTCTTATTCTTATTTAACCTCACTTTGACTTCTTAATTTTGTAGAATTTCTTCCCACTTTTTTATTTTGTACAATAAATAATTTTATTATTTGTTATCAATACATTATACGGTGTAAATAAATAAATATTGATTGTCGGTAAAGTTCTATTTTATTTACTTTTGTTTACATTAATATTGACTAAGAGCACGTATGCTTGGTTGTATAGTATTTTCCAGCCACTTCGAGTCTGTCAAAAAGTTACTAACTTCGAAAAAAAATAATTACTAAAATCACTAGACAGTTCGGACTGGGAATAGCGAACCGGGTATACTAATATAATTATAGGTCTATGGTATATAAAACCGGTTGCAGCTTTTCATGTAGTGAGATGTTTTGTTGTTTTTTCATGTTCCAAAAATTGTTTCAATACTAGAGTATAAAATGAATACTTTTTTAGAAATTAATCATAAATTATCTGCATAGTATGCAACTATACATACAGTGGTGTATTCTGAATTTATAATATGAATTTTTTTAAATTTCTTTTACAAACGTGAATATTTTTAATTCTATGTTATTATGAAGCGAAAAAATTTTAAAAAATTAATTATTGAGCAAATAATTAAAAATTGTCCCTATCATTTATTAATTTCAAGTGAATTTTTGAATTTTTTTCTTCTCCCGCTGTTTCAGGGTTTGGTGGTGGTTTGGTGTGGTGGTACTAGCGGCTGTCATGTATTATAAACAAATCTTGTTTACTATTACTGGAAAATTTTAATTTTAAACTTTTGATTGAAAATTTTGTGAGAATGGCACCTGCAAAGAAAGTTAGAACGTACGTAAATTCAAATACTAGTTTAGTTAATAACTCTATAGATGCTTTTAATGTTTTATTTGCAAAAAATATGACAAAACGGCTATTAGGAAGAAAGAAACAAAAACTCAAAATTCAAGAATTGCCCACAAGAAGAAACTGCGAATCTTTATTAAAAGACGATTCTTTACAAATAAGTACAGAAGATACATTTGACAAATTATTAAAAACTAAAAAGAGTCCACCAAAATCACCTACCATACATGATTCTTTAAAGTCAAATTCTGGTAATGAAAACAAGATTTTAGTATCATCACCAAAGACTAGACGACAAAAAGCCAATTTGTGTTTGACTAATGATTCTAACAGTCAACAATCTCAGTTAAGCCATCTACATCAACCTTCAACAGAAAGGATTGAAGAAAGTCTGGAAATTGAGACCATTAAGAAGAAACCTAATACTTCGTTGAGTTACATAACAATACCAAAAAATATAAGTTTGATGGAAAATAGTAGTAATCATTTTGCAAGAAATCTGCAACAGAAACTTGTACATTGTAGTACTCCCATAGCTCCTTCTAAGGCCGAAATTGAAAATTACACAATATCTCCAATAAAAGTTAATTCTTTACTAAAGAAATCGTTTCAGCAAATTGACAGCTGGAACAATGAATTTCCTGCACCTACTAGTATAAATACACCTATGAGAAGATTAATTTTTGATAAGAACAATTCTAAATATGCACCACCTTCAATGGTCTTGAAAGAATATTCTCCAAAAATAAATAATTCAAAAGATTTTAATTCACCTGGTAGAAGAACAAGTTTTATAACACTGAGACATAGAAAAGTTATAAAATCTTTCAGGAAAAGACATAAAAATATATCCAGAAAAAATAAAGCTATAACAAGTTTTGAATCTTTTGCTAAATCCGAAATTCAACATATATCTCTTCCCAACCAGCAGGAGAGTTTGATATCTCAGCTATCAACTGTGAATTTTGTCACGAAAAGTAAAAACACAACATTTAACACAACAACACATAAAAAACATTCCTCTCTTTTTGATGATGGTTCCCATGAAGAATCAGATAACAAAAACCAAGAAAAAAATAAAGAGTTGTATATAAAAATGCCCAATATATCAATTAGTGATGTGCCTAATTCAGTAACAAATTTTGAAAAGTTTTATTCACATAATTTAAGTCCCCAACTTATGGATAATAAAGAAGATTTATCTGAAGTTCAAACTACTAGTAAATTAAACAAGCTTTTTGTTAGTTTATCAAGGAAAAGCTTAAGTTCTGAAGATTTTGAAGAATTTTTTGCTAGTAATATAAATCAACAAACAGATTCCAAAACTAGATCAAAAGAGAACATAAGAAATTTAAACATATCAAAAAATAAAGTTGAATATGTAGGTAATGACAACAACATCATTACCAATTATGATGTAATACAAAATGCTGGCTGTGATCAAAGTGATAATGAGTCTCAAATTAAGAATGCAGTAGAGAAAAAACATTTAAGAACTACTATAGAAAAACTACAAAAAAGAAAGTTACAAGAGGATACATTTGATGATTTTCTTCAGAAAAATATGAAAGTATTAGAAAATACTGAGTGTTCTTCTAATTATACTGAAGATGATTCATCAGAGATGTCTTTTAAATATACATATAACAAATCTGATATTTCTTATAAAAGATCCTATGTTTTAAGATCAAATAATATGTCATTTAAGAATAAAACAAGAAAATGTGAGACTCAAGGTAGTTCAGAAGAGTTCTTTAGAGTATTAAATTTAACACCCAGCAAAATTGGTATTAGGAAAAAGCTTTGTAACAATTTAAGCAATAATTTGACAAATTTACCCTTACTAGAATCCAAAGAAGATGAATTTGAATCTTTCTTTGTACAAAATTTGGACCTGATTCATCAAGAAGAATATGTTAGCAAAGAAAGTCAAAAAGAATTACCCCAAATGCCCAATCAATTAAAGGTTGTTTTAAAAAAAAACTTTGGACAAAATTGTTTAGAAAACAAAGCTCTTGAGTGTAATCAGACAGTAGATTTAAGAATTAATTTGAGAAATTTACCACTTCTAGAATCTAAAGAAGAAGAATTTGAAACATTCTTTGCTAGAAATTCAGGCCTTAATCATCAATACCAATCTGTTTCCAAAGAAGATCAACAAGAATTTCCTGTAATACAAAAAGAATTAAAGGTTGTTTTAAAAAATATCTCTGGACAAAATGCTCCAACAGATACAGTTCTTGGTTTTAACCAGACAGAAGATTTAAGAATTAATGTGGCAAATTCACCAGTGCTGGAATCTAAAGAAGAGGAATTTGAATCATTCTATGCTAGCAATTTGGACCTTAATCATCAAGAACAAATTCTCAAAGAGGATCAAAACACATTACCTCTAAATCAAAAACAATTAAAGGTTATTCTAACAAATATTTTTGAAAAAAATTCTCAAGATAAATTTCTCTCTATGAATAATACAAATGTTAACAAATGCACAGAAGAAGACAACAGAGTATTGTCACCAAATGGTAATACTCGTAGCTATGAAGAATGTGAACAAATTTCTTCTAAACATGTCTTTTCAAACAAAAAACTTGTAGTCAAACTTATAGCAAATGATTACAGCCATCTGATGCCAATTTGCACTGAAAGATTAGTCAGAGACAAAAAAAGTTTGGATATTGTTGAAACTAATCATACAACTGAAGTTTACTCTGAATTACAAGTTGATCAAATATTTATGAATATATCCAATAGGGAACACTTTGAAACCTTTTATACTAACAATTATGGGGATAAAAACAATCTCACAGAGAAACAAATTTGTTCTATAAGTAATACTTCTTATGGTTCTGACGTAATAGAAAGTTCTATAATAGAAACATTTGCTAAAGATAATAAAAGAGCTAAAAAACATTATACCAGAGAAATCAGTTTACGAAAAAGGCCATCTAAGTACAATATTACTGATAACGTTAAAAGTAGCCGTTCTTCCAGAAAATCTTCATTTGTGCATGTAACAGCTGAGGATGATTTAATAGATTCCGATGGAAATGCTATGTGTGAAACAATTGTACAAGCAGATAAAACAATTCAACCTAATAGAATTAAAAAATCAAGATCAAACACACAAAATAATAGAAGCATTATTGTGCATATAACAGCTGAAGATTCATTGAAATCTCTCAATAATATCGGAGAAGAAGAAATTATATTAAATAATGAAAGTAGAAAGCCTATATGTCCTAAGAAGAGTATTAATAACATTTTAGATGCTTCTGAACATGGAATTAACATACCCGATAGTAGTACAACTGAAACTAGTTCGTATAAACGTAGCAGAAGTAAATATAAAACACACAAGAGTAAAGAGAATATTAATTTAAATATATCTGAAGATTCAGCAACTAAGGAAGGATTATCAGATGTTAAAAATAAGAGCAGTAAGCCAAGAACTCAAATAATACATGAAGATGAAGAAAAATTAAAAGTTCAGGTTTCAGTAGAAAATAAAATTTCTGATGATGCTCAAACAAAACAAAGTGTTGTTGTAAGAAGTAACGAAGTTGTTTCTGAATATACGAAAGAAAAGGAAATTGAGGGTTCAACGAACCTGGAGTCTGATGATTATGTTTTAAGTACCAAAAATAGATCTGCTAGTAAACACAGGAAGTCTAAGAGAGACAATGAAAATGAGTCTGTAAAACTAAATGCTTCAAGATCCAATGATCCAAGTGAAATTCAATCTGAGATTAATGAAGCAAACACAAACAGAAGTACAACAAATGTTCCTCAAGAAAAAAGTGAAAGTTTATCTGTGAGCTCAGATCTTGTAAATAGTTCATATGTAGATTCAAATTATTTCAAGGCGCCAAAAAGTTTTAAATCACCCAAATCTGTAGTACTGAAAGCTGGAAAAAGTTGGAGGAGATCTTTGTCCTTATATAAAAGAAGTACATTATTCTCAAGACCTGCCAAAGATGACCAATCATCTTCATTTACTAGTAAGTTATTTTTAATTAATTGCCCACTTTAGCCATCATTGATTGAATGAGTTTTTTTTTTAATATCCACATTCCATTAACCTTTCCGTGACTGTGCGGGGTATTTTAGGTACCCCAGATGCGGTTTTGTTGTTATAATTTTTTAAAATATTTTTATTTTTTTGTTCCTCCAGGTAATCTTAAAAAATATATTACTAAATCCTTTTTTTTATAAAAATTATTAGGTTTAATTTCAGTTTTCTACTAAAATTGAAATTAATTACTTGGGGTACCTCTGTTACCCCGCACGGCCTGGTATGATTTGAAATCATATACATATATTCCTGTGGTAGGCCAGCTAAATACATAAATAATATTCTATTTTTATTTCGATTATTGTTAGTCTTTACTTTGCTTTACTTCACGGATGTGTGTATTTCACAGAAAATGATGAGACGTAAATATTATACTGAAGATGAATTACATAGAATTTTGGAAGAAAGTGACAATAGTGACGATTAATGCGAACTTAGTGATAGTGAATCAGAAAGTACGGAAAATGTCGAAGAACAAGAAATAGTTCTAGATGAAATTACAGTCCTTGAAAACGAAAGTGAAAAATCTACTTTTGAGCCAGTTGCTGAAATACTAAAATCGAAATCTGGATATGAATGAAAAACACAACCACCTGCACCTACAAGGCGCAGGGCTCATAATATAGTCAATTGTCGTGGAGGTTTACAAAATAATAGGTGACGTAATTTTCAACATATTACATTTTGAAAATAAACAAATGTTTTAATAAATTCGCAATTTGTTTTAGCATGGCTCTTACTTCAATAAAAGAAGTTGGAATGCTATATAAATGAGAATATACTAGCTGACATATGCACGCACACAAATCGACACGGAGAAGTATATACTGAAAAATGTAATGAAAAGCATCCTGCTGATCAAATGGTTTGGAAAAATGTTACAATTACTGAATTATATGCTTTCATTGCAGTACTTATAGCTAGTAGAAGGAATCACGGAAGAAAACTTCACTTGGCGGTAATGTGGGCCAAAAATGAACTATTCAATCATTTTTTACTACTGTAATGTATCAAAATAGATTCAAGGTGATCTACAGACACAAGATTTGATGACCCCGCCACAAGAACAAATAGAATAATAGAAACAAAAGATAAACTACAAGCAGTTCGCAATACATATGACCAATTTGTAAAAAATTGCATTGATAATTATTCACCTGGTCAAAATATCACAGTCGATGAGAGGTTAGCTTCATTCAGAGGAAAAAAAGTCCATTTAGAGTTTATATAAAAAGTAAACCTGGTCGATATGGAATAAAAATTTGGGTTTGTTCGAACTCTGATACTGCTTATATTTTTAACAGTCAGATATACACTAGAATGATAGATAAACAACTAGAAATGAATCAAGGCTTTAGGGTAGTTTTAGGTATGGTTAGACTCTATTTTGGATCGGGGAGTGGAGTTACTACAGACAATTTTTTTACCTCGATTCCCCTAGATTATTCTTTTATCGACACAGTTTCACAGCAACGAAATATCCTCTGATGAAAAATCAAAACGTAAGCCTGAAATTCTTTTACACTATAATAAAACCAAAGGGTCCGTTGACACCGGAGATAAAATGACCAGAGAATATACATGTGTTCCTTCAAGTAGGAAATGGCCATTTAGGATTTTTATGGAAATTATTGATATGGCTGCACTCAATGCCTATATTATATTCACTAAAAAGTTTCCCGATTGGTAAAGTAATGACCGAAGTAGGCGAAGGATTTTTTTACAAAACGTGTTGAAAAGTGATCTGTCTACAATGGAAGTTGAAAGTTTTAATACGGAATTGTTCATCGATGAAGTGCAAAAGAGAAGATGTATTTGGGACATGGAATATGACAAATACAAGAGCGGAGTTTAATCCACTGTACTATTACACAACGTAGACTTATGGTTTTCTTCCAATTATATTTTAAATCCTAAATATGTTGCCCATGTGAGTCAATTTCAAATAGGTAAAAAAGAATAAGACTTACTCACAATCAATTTATTCTACCAACAACGACCGATTTCGTATACTATAATTTGCTATGCATCTTCAGGTTTTAAGGTACCCTTCGCGTCATAAATAACTGGTACAATTATTATAACCGAAAATCGTGTTTTTCAAGCTGTGTAAGTTGATCTTGTCACATATGTCATTCTTATTTATAGGGCAACTTTGCCAGATCAACGACCAGCTTAAAGTAGGGCTGGGCTGTGCGACAGACGTCAAGTTTTTAGTATACTAAAAACTAAAACAATATCGATCATTTCCGATCAGTAAGTCACATTTATTTAAACATGCATCCTAAAAAGTTCTAATAATTTTGATATTTTCCATCATCCCTATTAAGTACCCATACATTGAATCGTGTTTTATTATAATTTATGAAAATATTTCAATTCAAAAATAATGATAGATAATAAAAAATCTAGACATGACTTTAAATTGTTATGTTTAATTTCAAATCGAGAGGTGTCATTCATTTCTCGTAAAGTGTAGCACAAAACTGTATTGAGTTATGGCATACTAGAATAAAACACACTGAAAAATTAAATATTTAATTTGAAATTAATACACAATGAATGACTTTTACAGTGAACAAGTGTGGAATTTAAATATATGTATTACAGTTCGAAACTGATGAAATATTAATATTTTGTCATATCTCCATTATTAAAAAATTCTTCAAACATTTTAGACATTAACTTAACCGTCTCCCTGGTTATTAAATTTATTAGATACCCCTTTTTGTTGGTAATGATAAAAATAATATCTATCTTAACACTTTATACATTTTTGAACGTTATTTTTTTTATTTAGATTTAGTGTAATTCCGTTATCTGTGATGGCAACAACGAATTGATTCACGGATCAGTGTGTCCTGTCTGAACACTGATTTACATTGGAAAAAAAAGTGTACCAGTTTTATATGACGGGAAGTGTACAACTATTTAACAAATAGAAGGAAAGTTCTTGAGGGGGGAAAAGATATTAACAACTAAAACCTATCTTTATTTTCTTTTTTGCGTCGTCTCCTTGAAGGAAGTGAAACAGTCTCTTTATAATTTTCACTCATGATTAAATATTTAAGGCATAATAACTACTCCCAAATGCCACAACAGTTCCTCTTAAAAGAGAGGTTTAAAGAAACTTGATTATATAAAAAGTTAATATACATAAATACCTTAATGATACGAGTTTTTCTTTGGATGAAATCCCATCCATTACTGTATTTTCACATGGTGATAAGCATTCTTTTAATAAAGTTAACAGTTCATCATTGTTATACTCATTCGGAAATAGTTAAAAAACCTTTGAGGGTATTTTTTCAATTTAGAGTATAGAGTCACAAAAGAACCCTTGGTCAATCTATCATTAATTAAAGGGTGCACCCACCATCTTCTTTGTCGTCTTTGCCTTGCTATGAATCTACGGTGTATAACCAAATAATACTAACTCCATATTCGTATTTGCTGTTGACATTCTGGCAAACCACGGCGTTAAACGTTTTTCTAACGTGCGCTTAACGCGGCGTGGAAGGTCCCCATGTGTACAAGCCCTTAACGTTCCAATAGTTGATTCTTAAATCTTTTTCAGGCGTCGAGACCAATTCGCAATTTAAAATTTTTTATTTTTACTGTATTGTTTTAAGTTACGGTTTTTATCCTCTAATGCTATATTTTATTTTTTTGTTTAGGAAAAACAGTCACCCCTGGCAAATCTTCACGCATAACAAGTTCAAAACCTTCAAGACGGTTATCTGTAAGGTTTGTTGCTGTGAAACCATTACCGATTTTACAAGTAGAAACTAATACAGTTTTAGAAGATTATGCAATAAATGCAAGTAAGTTTAGTCCTTAAGCCTTACAGTATCATGTTCTTTCTACTATATTTTACTTAGCTTAGCGTTTCGCACTCTTAAAGCAGGTCGTCACGGCGTCAGCGCAGACTAGAATGGGAAAGAACGGACTTTTTTAAAACCATTTTGTCAGCTTTCTGCTAACTTTATTTACTATAACTTTACAGAGGATACAAAAAATTAGTTTTAAAATATGCGATTTCGATATCAAATTTTAATTTCAATAATATTTTTCCTGAATGGATAGTTCAGGTGGTATCTGTCGAAAAGCAGACCATAATGGACATTTTCCATAGGAGTCATTTTTTTTTGCTGAAATCACTTTAGGATGTAGATACCTTGTATCAATAATCACAACAAAATCTGAAAAAATAATCGAAAATTTTTGCTTTTTGTCCCCATATTTTCGTGAATAACTCGAAAGATATTACTCCTACAAAAAAAATTATACAAGGTAAAAGTTTCGCTTTTTAAATATTACATAATATTTGACTAGCTAGAAATTGAAAAAAAAATATGTTTCTTGTTTAAAAAATAGCAATAATTGGGAAAAAAATGTGCAAAAAATGAAGTTTTTCCTTTAAATTTTTTCGACTCCTTAAACATAAATTATAGCCTTCATATTCCACATAAAAAACTTTATAATACAACTGAATCGTATGCTAAATTTAGTTGGGATCGGTTTAATAGTGTTAGCATAATCATTTTGCAATGCAAGGTCCGCAAAAACCTGCAAATTTGCAAAATTTAGACTGGGCCCAAAATAAGCATTTTAAATAGTAGATTTTTTTACATATAAAAGAACTAGGAGAGCCTAGGGAATTTTTTTAAGTCGTACACAATTTTTTGGTGTACAACTAAATACATAACTTAACGAGTTTTACAAATATGCATTTCACAATTTGTATACCTATAGAACTAAAGAAGCTACTTAAAACAAACTATATCGAAGCTTAAATGCTTTTGCCTGCATTTTTCGCGTAACCATAAGTGATAGAGGGCCCGTTTTTAATTTTGCGAGATTCCTTTTGTGACAGCATACATCAAAAAACACAAAAAAATCGTTTTTGTGTCTTTGCGTAAAAAGTCGCTAGAAGTGCATGGGAGGTATAGTAGCCTCGTATTTCCGTGAGACTGCGCAAAAATATATGTATCTGTAATAAAATCATTCAACAAAAAGGTACTCTACCAGGAGTCTGTAAAATTATCAATGACTCAGACGTATAATAATACAAAGTTTCCAGATTCCACTCGATATTAACATTCAGACGTGCCTGGTATAATCTTTTAAAATATGAACCAGATATGAACAATCAACCAATTAAGTTTTCATCTAACTTATGACAAGTCCACGTGGACTAACGGCCCATGAAAACATCGTATATCGCTGTTAGGACAAATCATAATGCATTATCTTTTGTCGGTAGACTTATTCATACTTGGGGTAAGATTATATCAGTATTCGACTGAGCTTACGGAGTCATAAAATAAGGGATCAGGTTTCGACCGTCCAGTGCCGAAGGCACGGGACGGGGAAAACTTAGGTAGGCAAATTTTTATATTTTATTTTTAAATTTCGGATATGAACAGATTTTTGGGAGACAAGAATATTTTTAGTAAAATCATAACTGCTACAGCGTTCAGTTAAATTCAAATTTCAAATAGTGAACCGCAAGTTAGTTTGGTAGTGACTTTTTTCAGTGTTCTTTATACGGAAAACATTTTATATTTTACGTTTTATACTTTTTTTGATACGTTTTTACGTGATTATGTTTTTATACGTTTGATAATTTTAAAATATTGCGTCCGTGGTGCGATAATAATAATTATGTAGCTGAATGGAACCCTCTAATCGATTGGAAGATTTACAAAGGCGTGTAGTAAAACGTAAGCGACATTTTCAATACCTATCTGATGATGCCAAACGTTTGCTAAAAAGTGTTTATGAAGGACTGTGTGCTGAATTGTCTAAATCAGAGGCAATTGCAGAAACATGTTTTTTAACCAGAGTGCCCAAAGCAACCTGCTACAAAATTATAGGAGAAACATCTTCTTCTAGACATAAGAGAAAGGATTGTGGCAAATTCAGAAAAATAGAACCGCACTTAATTGAAACTATAACTAGAACAATATACCAAATGTATGCGGCTAATATTTTTCCAACTATTGAAAGTCTTCGAAGTGAATTAGTTCGAAAGTGCATTCTCTCGTGTTCAGCAACAACACTTCGATTATTTCTTAAAGCCAATAATTGTAAGTACAAAACTATAGACAAGAGACAGACATTGATGGAAAGTACTAGAATAATTTCTTTAAGAAACAATTATATTAGACAGATAACTGAGTATCGAAAAATGAAACGAAATATTGTTTATTTAGATGAGACCTGGTATGATACTCATGACACCGTGAAAAAAAGTTGGACAAATAATAACAAAAAGTGTTTCAACTCAGTACCGCCCAATAAAAGAAAGATGATTATAATTTTACACTGCGGTGGAGAAAATGGATGGGTCGACGATGCATTATTAATATCTGCAAAACAAATTAAAAACGCGTCTCTGGATTATCATGACGATATGGAAAGTTCAATTTTTGAGTCATGGTTTAAAAAATGTCTTCTTCCGAAATTACTTAAAGATAGTGTGATTATCATGGACAACGCATCATATCATTCAAGATTAATGAAAAAAACTTCAAATAATAGTTGGAATAAATTAAAAATTCAGGAATTTTTATTCACGGAAGATTTGTATTTTAAGACATCTTATATTAAAAAGCAATTGTTGGAGGTTGTTCATAGTAAACAATACGAAAAGGAATATGTTGTTGACAACTGTGCTCGTAGTAACGGGCATACTGTGTTTAGACTTCCTCCTTATTATTGTACATTGAACCCAATAGAGTTAATATGGGCTCAACTTAAAGGAAATATAATGAGAAGAAACGTTACTCCAAAATTTTTTGTCTACTGTTCTCCAGTTAATTAGAAGAGAAGTCACAAAAATTACAGCAACCAACTGGAAAAATGTAATAAAAATAAAACATGTAATCGAAGTGGAAAATGACTATGTTATGTTAAATATTTACCAGCATTAACGAAATTACCTATAAAATTAGATGATATGAGTGATACTAGTGATAACAGTGATTCTGAGTAGATAGTAAGTACTTATTAGGTGTTAGTTGAAACCTTTATTTCTATTTTAATTGTAGATATTCTCATTTTGCTTATATATCTTTGAAAACAGGGTATAAACCATCGAGCAAAAAGACAAAAGAGGGAATCTAATCCTTATGAAAAGGTGACCAAAAAAGTGGCCTCTGATGGCGGACATATCCGGAAATGCGAATGCGCCAAATTTAAATTTTCCGACACTTATTTATTAACAGTAGCTATATAATATTTTTCAGAATGTGTTTTAGACGAGAAAGTTTTAATTAATTATTAATGGTAATAGTCTAAAATGCAACACAATTGTTAAAAAACTTAAACAATATAAATAAGATTTCATGTGACATTTGGGACAAACAATAACATAACCCAACTAAATTTGATGTCAAACAAGGAGAGAGACTCTCTTTCCTTGTTTAATGTGGCCTCTAAAGATCGCACTTCCTGTCTAACAATATTTTTGCCCCCACTACCTTTACATTCCCTCTTTTGTCTTTTTGCTCGATGGTATAAACACACTTCTTGATAGGACAAAAATTATTAATGTTTTAGGGGAGGATGTCAACTGAAACTGTCACTGTCATTCTCGCTGAATAACTACTATTATTAACAATGTTTTATATAGATATTATTATTTTACAATAAGTTCTGTTCAGTCGAGTCGATTACTGTAATCACTCCCAAGATATATCACAGAAGTTAAAAACACCTATATTTTTTATTTAAACTTTATAGAAAATGAAACTTTTTGGTAAATAAAATTAAATAAAAGTAAAAACTTTTATTTAATTTAAAATTAGATATCTACGCTACTGTTCTACTAGTTTGTACTACAATAAACTAGTGGCAACTCTAACAGCGTTGCCATTTTACTAGTTTTTTGCTTGTTTTGGTCTCTGTAAATTTTCTCACGATATTACGTGCCGACTATACGGTGAGGGTAGTCCCTTAGGCACAAGCCCTAAAATTAATTTTTCCACCACCAGAGAAAAACCAAGTACCTACTTTTTGTTAGATTACACTTACAGATAAGGTATCGTCAAAAATAGCCAAACATATAAAAAAGAAAAGAATAAAACCGTCTTTTAGAACAAACAATAACCAAATACCCAATAACCCAAATAACCAATAAGCAAATATATTAAGAATAACAAGATCAAAAAGAAAAAACACTTCCACAGTGTTTTTTCTTCTACAAACTTACATGTGGTTACTACCCAAAATCTTACATCGGTCAAACTGGTAGAACCTTTAAAAAATGCATAGCAGATCATAAAAGGGCTTTTAATTATAGAAAAACAGATTTTACGTACGCACTTCACCTTCTAGAATCATTCTTTTAATGACCACTTTCAAATTCCCCATATTCAAAATAAAGGCCTTAAGCTATGGAAATTATTAAATTAAAAAATACAGATACAATTTTAAATGACCAACTTCTCAAGGTAGACAAACAGCTCTCCCCTAATCAACTTATTCCGTTAAAGATTATAAAATGTAGACGCGTACTAAAAATACATCACTTGAGAAAGCACTCTGCCTAAACAGCTGTAGTGAAAATAAATCAATTTTAAGCAAATTTTGTGGAAGTATAGAAAACAAAGGTTTTATTCTTAGATAAAACTGATTAATCCTAATTTGTTATCTGGAAAAGATTTTTCTCAGATAAAGTCTGTGACTTTATCAATAACTATGATTGTGATAACAAGATACTACAGTATTACAATTACAATTTGATATCAAAATCACTTTATTAATGTGTTTTTTTTTAACTAGTTTTTAGTATCTCTCGTAAATTTACACTAAATTG